TTAGGGCTGTTGTGCATAGGGTCACTATGAGTCGGAAACGACACGACGGCACATAACAACAACAACAACCATTTTGTTGGAGATTTATTTCCTTACCTTGTACCTGAAACCGAAGAGAATGTTGCAGTGATATCAGGCTTTCTAAACAACAAGAATGTTGTTATTGTTGTTGTTATGTACCGTCCAGTTGCCTGTAACTCATAGTGACCCTATGTATAACAGCCCTAAACTCTGCCCTATCATCTGCCAATCTTATTGTCTCTGACCTACCCTCATTACCCATCACTGAATCAATCCACGTCATAGAGGGTGTTCCTCTCCTGCGCTGTCCCTCCATCCTCCCAAGCGTGATGTCCCTCTCCAAGGATTGGTACCTTCTTGCAACATGTCCAAAGTATGTCAGACGAAGCTTCAGAATCCTTGCCTCCAAGGAGCATTCTGGTTTAACCCTCTCTAGGATGAACCTGTTTATTTTCTTAGCAGCCCATGGTATATTCAATACTCTTCTCCAACACCACAGCTCAAAGGCATATCAAACAACAAGAATACCAACACTGGTAGAATTTTTAACTCGGCCTTGAGTTTATGTATTTCTTTACTCTGAAGTTCATCCTGTTTTAAAGTTTTTCAACTGGGCCTTCTAACTACTTGTATTGTCTAATATGATAGATAAGTAAGTGGTTATATTTACATCCAAAACGGGCTTGCATAAGGCATTGATGATTTAAGTGGTAGAATTCTTATGTTCCATGCAGAAAGTCTGGGTTCAGATTCTAACCAATGCACTTCATGAGTCCTTTGAGGTTTGCATGTTACTATAATACTGAAAAGGGAGCTCTGGTGGCCTAGTGATAAGAAGCTATTCTACAATTTCAAAGGCAAGCAGTTTGAACCAACCATCTCCTCTGCAGGACAAGGATGGGCAGTCTCCTCCTATATGATTTACTGCCTCTGAAAATCCACTGGAGGGTCAGCTGTGACTCGGTTTTGACTCTATAGCATGTAACAACAGCAGAATGCTGAACAGTGGAACTTCCAAACATAAAATAATTAAGAAGAAAGGCCTGGCAATTTACTTCCAAAAAAATAGCCACTGAAAACCCAATGGAACACAGTTGTCTTATCTATAACTAGTCACAGGACCGTTTAACATTTTGTTCTGTTGTGCATGTAGTCACCTCCTTTAGTGGGAGCTAACAACAACATGGGATTTAAAAATTATTTTTCAGAATTTACTCTTGAGCATAATTCATCTGTGCTAGACACACAGTGTCCTTCTCTAAATGTATTTCCTTTTTCTTTTTTTTTTTTTTACTTTCCAGCCATTATAATGTTAGAATGTTGCTACCTTGAAATTTGTTATGGTAGCAACATTATAAAATTATATATTTCAAGGAATTCTTTTTCTTTCACTGTAACTAAAACCACTTTCTACCTAACTTTGGTTCAAACTGAGACAACTTCTGCATTTAGAACTCTTCTCACTCCATCCAGGCAGAAAAATTTGGAGTTTAGAGACCTGTGTTCTTGCATTCAGATGCAGCTAGAGAAATTTTTAAATCTCAAATATGACAGTAACTTCTAAAACCCTTTAGGACTTCCCTGCTCTCTACATTAGCTGGACATCCTTATATTTGAAGAAGTTTCTTCATTTTACATCACTTGCTGCCATTGACCTGGCTGAAGTTTGTCCCACTTTGCAATGATGAAATGTTCTCTTTTTTTCCCTCTGAGGTTTTGCATACCCTAGTCATTCTGTCTCCCACGTATCTCTTGACTTCTTTACTTCCCCTGTCATCAACTTCCAATCGTATTTCAGGTCTTAGCTTGAATCCTTCCCTTATCTGTCAAGTTTGGCGTAGTAAATCTTCTTGTGATTCTCTTATGCTTCCTTTATCATAGCAGATGTCAGACTTTTGGAATAATTATGTGACTTTTTGTCTCAAACATTGTCATCTCCTTCTCAAAATAGTAAAAAAATCCATTAAGACATACTATGTCTTTTTTACTCTTAAATCCACAAGTTTGGCAAATGGTCTATTAGAGAGTAGTTAGTCATCTAATATATTGTAAGCAACTGTGATCCTAGTCTGTCTACTTAAAACTCATTGCCATGAGTGAGCTCACAGATAGCTGACCTTCCAGCAGGTTTTCAGGACGCTGCATCACATTGGAGAAGATTGCTCATCTTTCTCCTACTACAAATACACTAGTGGATTTGAACTATCAAACATCACATTTGGTTTAGTAGCACAACTGCCTGTGGGCTGACTGCCAGAACACCCTATCAGCATTGGATAAATAACAATGCCTATACTGCAACCAAGCTTTCAACCTAAAATACTTAAACTCTTTTAAGATCAGAATTTTGTTTATAAGCTTCAAAGTTATTGCTAAAAAGTAATAATTTATGTGAAAAGGAAATCTCTTCATTTTACTGGTACCAAGAGTGGCATCCACTTCCTAAACAGCATGCCTCTGGAAACTCTGTGAACTTTGATAAATGGCAGTGGTTGTGGAAGGGCTTCAGGCCTTGTGTTCATAAGGTCGCTATGAGTCGTGCTCAATTCTATGGCAATCAACAAAAATAATTATTAAAAATTAGTCATAAAAATTAATCAATGACTATTTTTAGTTATCTAGTGTTGCCATAACAGAACTACCACCAGTGGATGGTTTTAACAAACAAATTTATTCTCTCAATTTGTTGTTGTTGCTAGGTGCCATAAAATTGACTATGACTCATAGTGACCCTAAGAATAATAGATCAGAACCTAGCCTTATCTGCACCATCCTTACAATCTGTGATACACTTAAGCCCATTGTAACACTTACTGTGCCAATCCATCTTATTGAGGGTGTTCCTTTCTTGCTGGCCATTCCCAGTATGCTGTCTTTTCCAAAGACTAACCCCTCCTGACAACATGCCTAAACTATGTGAAACAAAGTTTCACCATCCTTGCCTGTGAGAAGCACCCTGGCTGAACTTCCTCAAAGACAGACTTGTTTGTTTTGTAGGCAGTCTATATTTAATGCTTTTCAGCAACACCATAATTTTAAGACATTGATTTTTCCTTAGTCTTCCTTAGTCATTGTCCAGCTATCAGATATATAGGAAGCAGCTGAAAATAGCTTAGCTTGGATTAAGAGTACCTCAGTCTTTTAACTGATCTTGAGCTTCCCGCTTCTACAGTTTAATCAGTATGATTCCTATATAGCCCATCAGGTAAGGTCCATGTGTAAAGTCGCCATTTGTATTTTTTTAAAAAGTATTTGCGATGAATAAATCATTGAGCACAAAAATCCAATTACTCTTTATTTTTGTCACGGAGTCTGTACTTTCCAACTTCCATTCCTCCGTCACTGTTTCCAACTTTTGCAATACAGTCCACCAGTTACCAATTAACACATCTTGAATGTATGTTTGGTCAATTTTGGACAACAAAATTTGATCAAAATCTTCAATTTCCTTCTCTCTGGCTTTAGCTGTTGGTGAGTATCTTTGAATAGTAGTCATATTAACAGTTTGTCCATATCTATTTATGGATAATATTCTGTCACTCACAACATTGATCTTCAGGATAGAACTTGACATTGCCTTTATAACTATGAATGCAACACAATTCTTTCTCTGGTTTTTATTCCCAGCATAGTATATCATGTGATTGTGAGATTCAAAGTGGCCAATATCAGTCCAACTCATCTTACTAATGCTTAGAATGTCAATGCTCATTCCATTACATTTTTTACAATTTCAAGTTTTCCTATATACAAACTGCATACATTCCATGTTCTAGTTGTTAAAGGATGTTTGCAGTTATTTGTTTTGATTGACTTCCAATCTAGGCTGTATTTCTAATACTATAGCTACCTCTGTTCCTCTATTGTTCCCAAGATTTTCAGAAAGCCTATTTCAGAACATCAGTTACTCAAGTTCAAAGTGAGACTGAAGAAAATTAAAACAAGTCCACAAGAATCAAAATATGACCTTGCGCCTGTCCCACCTGAATGTACAAATCATCTTAAGAAGGTTTGAAATATTGAATACTAATGATCGATGACCAGATGAATTGTTGGATGACATCAAGGATATCATCCATGAAGAGAGCAAAAGATCACTACAAAGACAGTGGAGAAAAGAAAACCAATGTGAATGTTAGAATACACTCTGATGCACTGGGCATCGAGAAGCCAAACAAAGGGAAGATATGCTGAAATAAAAGAGCTGAGCAAAAGATTTCAAAGGGCAGATTGAAAAAAAAACCAAAACAAAAAAACAAAGTAAAACGTAACGGAATTTGCAAAAAGCTAGAATTAGGGAAAGAATTCACTAACCTTTTCTCAAGCTGAAAGAACTGAAAAACTAATTTAAGCCTAGATGTGATACTGAGAGATGCTATGGACAAAATCTTGTATGATCCTGGAAACATTAAAAGAAGATGGGAGGATTACATAGAATCATTGTAGTAAAAAGAATTGGCCAACACTGAAGTATTTCAGGAAGTACCATATAGATCTTCGGTGGCCTCATAGTAAGAAACTGCTACAATCCCAAAAGGCACACAATTCAGATACCACCAGCTGCCCCATGAAAGAAAGATGGGCAGTCTCCTTTGAGATTTATTCCTTGAAAACCTGCTGGAGGGTCAGCTATGAGTCAGTTTTGACTCAATTCCACACAATAACCATATGATCAAGAACTAAGAGTAATGAAGAAAGTTCAAGCTGCAGTGAAGGCACTGGCAAAAAAATAAGGCCACAAGAATCTATGGGATACCAAATAGACATGTTTCAAATAACAGATGGATCCTGGCTGTGCTCACTAGTGTGTGCCAGGAAATTTGGAAGACAACTGCCTGGCTGACTGACTAGAAGAAATCCATTCCCAAAAAGAATTGATACCTTTGAGCTGTGGTGTTGGAAAAGATTACTAAATATATCATGGACTGCCAGAAGAACAAACAGATATTTTAGAGAAAGTGCATCAGAATGCGTCTTGGAAGCAAAGCTTATAGAGTTTTGTCTCAGATACTTTGGGCATGTTTAGGCTCTTCCTTGGAGAGGAAGATCATGCTTGGAAAGGTAGAGGGTCAGCAAAAGAGAGGAAGACCCTCAACCAGATGGATTTACAGAGTGATTGCTGCAGTGGACTTGGCTATGTGAGAAATAATGAGGATGGCACACGTTAGGACAGGGTTTAGATACATGGTTCAGTTCCTCTGTTCATTGAGTCATACTCAACTCATCAGCACCTAACAACAAGTCTTAAACTGACATAGCTCTTTGAAGAGATTCCCCCAATGAAACAGGTCTTTTGATTTCTTAATTGCTGCTGCCACAGGTATTGATTGTGGATCCAAGTGAAATGAAATCATTGACAATTTCAGTCTTTTGTCCATCTATCATGATGTTGCCTATTTGGTCAGTAATGAGGTGTGTGGGGTTTTTTTCCTTGATGTTGAGATGTAGTTAAGATTCTCAAAGTTTAGAAGATTAATTAGTAATTGATCTTGTATAGATTTAAGTATAGAATTTCAAATTGAGGGTGCTGGCTGCAGGGTACTACTTCCTCTTTTTATGTCACTTGGTTCTAGGAGTTTTACAGTGCAGAAAACTGGGTTGAAAGTATACAACTTACCCCCTGATATCTTCCTTGGTGGTACTGAGGTCCCCCAATATCTACTCACCTCTCTGTCCTTTTATCATTTGTAAGCTAAATGGTATAACAGGCCACACCTTAGGGAGATTCCCCTTGTGTTGCATCCAGATTAGAGTGTTTCATCATACTTTTAAAACTCTTACAGCAGATTTTCTTATCAGAAAATGGGACTTTATATAACTTCTACTGTAATGTAATATTACATCATTACATTCAAAACACTGAGAGTCATGGCCCACCTAAGAAAACACATATTTTCAGGGGACATATTTCATGACAGTGATATATATCAAAGATACATATATTGTTTCTAATTCATTTAAAAACTTTCACAGGTTTCTTTCTCTAAGATGTACTTTTATGTTATTTGGTTTATTATAAATGTGAAGAAGTACAGAAACAATCATTCACAGTGCTTCCTTATACAGCTAACATTTTTATGAAATTTTCCACTCACAATCTGATTGTGAAAAAAGTAAGTACTAGATGGTAAATTAAGGCACATAAGCAGATATTTATCAAAACTATATTTTATTAAATGCCTTGCCAAGAGAATTCCCAAAGAGAAAATCTCATTTGAGACCAAACATTTTTTTTTACATATGATCATTCTTTTCAAGAAAACAAACAGATTCATCCTGGACATCCTGGAGAGGGTTAAACCAGGCTGCTCCTTGGAGGCAAGGATTCTGGGGCTTCGTCTGACATACTTTGGACATGTTGTAAGGAGAGACAGGTCCTTGGAGAGGGACATCATGCTTGGGAGGGTGAAGGGACGGCAGAAGAGGGGAAGGCCCTCTATGAGGTGGATTGATTAAGTGACTGGGGCAATCAGGATGGGTGTGTCAGAGGCAGTGCGATTGGCACAGCATAGAGCAGGGTTTAGGGCTGTTGTACATAGGGTCGCTATGAGTTGCGGGCAACTTGACGGCACATAACAATAACAACAACATTCTTTTCATAGCAGACAAATATAATTCAACTGCCTCATGTATCCTAGGGTGGGAAATCACTCCTGGAAAAGGGTTTATTCTGATGTGAGTTACTAATGTATTAAAAACTTTATTAGAAATGAAATTTTCTTATTTACAAATTATCACCAGATGAAAAATCTCAATTAACTCACTTTTTATTTTCCTTTTTGAGTTTACCAAACGAGAACCAGAAGATACAAAAAGTGCAGATTCTGACCGAGATGTTTTTAATGAAAAACCTTCTAAAGAAGAAGTCATGGCAGCTACTCAAGCTGAAGGACCCAAACGAGTTTCAGACAGTGCCATTATCCACACGAGCATGGGGGACATTCATATCAAACTTTTTCCTGTTGAGTATGTACTATTTTTGTTGTCTTAAATAAATACCAATGTAAATGTGTATTTTTCCAATAATTATTTTCTCCCTAGGAAATGAGAAACTCATATGCAGCATGCACATTTCCTGGGTTTATTTGGAGAACAAAATATATTAACTATGATGGTGCAGGTATAAACTATAATGTATAAATGTAAATTACGATTACTCATGACTTACTTATTTCCTCTGAAAGTAAATCTTTAAAAGGATAATTCTTATCCTTCCTGATATTTGCTAGACATCTATTTGCTCACTCTTTTGTTTCAGTAGCTATACAGTCTAAAAATGAATTCAAATTAAAACTTAGGGTCTTTATTAAGGTGACACCATTTTTACTTACTAAGTGTGAAAGAAAAGAAACAGGCTTTGCAAAGTCTAGAGTTAAAATCCACAAAGGATTTTTGTTTTTTTTCCATTTCTCCTGAAACTATCATAGGCAATGTAAAAATGTGGTAGGAAGCTGAAAAAAGTAAACAGTTTTAAAACTGCAAAATGAACAGGCAATGCCAAATACAGTGAATATCTTTGATTCTTTAGTCCACATGGCAACATCTCTTACACTATCTTTACTTAAAAGTACTTGTGTATTTTGAAAGTGAATGTTTCTATCATTATACTTCTTGGCACTGAATAAAAGGTGAGGCAGTTATACTCCTGGACAATCTCATATCAAGAGTTCATTACTACTAGTAAATCTGTTTCCTGATGTACTTGGTATAAGATACACTTTTTCCTCCATTTTAAATATTGTGATGTGAAAGTTTACAAAGCAGTTTGGTTTCACATTCAACCATCCATAGACATCTTGTTTTATAGCATTGATTAGTATGCTTACAATGTAATAACATTTTCATTTCCTCCCTGTAATTCTCATTTCCATTTATCCTTCTATCCTACCCCTTTTGCCTTCTAGACTTTGTCCTTATGCAAATACTACTCTTTTGGTTATTCAATAGACTGAATGCCTCCTTTCTATACCTGTATATTGTTTGGCTGAAAGGTGAATTTTGTTCCAGGTTCAAAGGATGACTAAGAACCATAATTTCTGAGATTCCAGTAGACTATCAGACTAGGAAGCCTGGCCTTTTTTTAAGATTTTGAGTTTTGTTCCACATTTTCTCTTACTTTATCCAGGTCTTCTAGAAGTATGGTCCCTTTGGGAGTACAGTGCAGTGGAAGCCAGGCACTAAGTTCTGGTCTTGGAACTTGAACTTGGTCTTGAAATCATGATCAGTTGAAGGTCATCGAAGTTGAGGTTTGCATAGCTCATTAGTTCTCGGACTAAATGTTTCAGTACATCCTTGCTTTTCTTTTTTGTTTTGAACAGGAAGAGAGCAATAGTTACACCTTAGATGGTTTCCTAGAGAGTTTTATAACCTCAGTCATTACTACCAAAGTAGAATGTAGAACATTGGTCATTGTGGACTGTGCTATGCCAGTTGACTTTGATGTCCTCAAGATTAAGGCCCAGAGGCACTAAGACCAGCAACTCAGGGTGTTAGCTTCCAGACTTTCCCTTGTTGGCTCTGCTTTAATTTATTTATATATACACACACACACACACACACACACACACAGCATATAGAAATAAGAATATAGGGTGACCATCTGCCAGATCTGTGTTTGATCATGGATGTTGTCCTTTTCACTTGTCCATGTGTTTGCCTTACCTATCTGCCTGTATATCCTCTTACAGATCAGTGTTTATTATTGCTAATATTATAAGTTTATGTAATTACTTTCGTCGACAGTATTTCTTGGGTGTCTCTACATGCCTAAACTGTACTGATCATCTCTTTATTGTATATTGCCTTTTCCTTCATCCATCTTTATATCTGTTTCTTACTTAACAATTTTTAATCCTTTCTCCTTCCTTTCTCATCTCTAATAATCATCTAAGAATGATTCTTTTCCTTATATGTAAATCTTTGTTTGTTGTTGTTGTTGTTGTTATGTGCCGTCGAGTCGTTTTCGACTCATAGCGACCCTATGCACAACAGCCCTAAACCCTGCTCTATCCTGCGCCAAACGCACTGCCTCTGACACACCCATCCCGATTACCCCAGTCATCGAATCAATCCATCTCATAGAGGGTCTTCCCCTCCTGCGCTGCCCCTCCACCCTCCCAAGCATGATGTCCCTCTCCAAGGACCCATCCCTCCTGGCAACATGTCCAAAGTATGTCAGACGAAGCCCCAGAATCCTTGCCTCCAAGGAGTAGCTTGGTTTTATCCTCTCCAAGATGAATCTGTTTGTTTTCCTGGCAGTCCATGGTACATTCAGTACCCTTCTCCAGCACCACAGCTCAAAAGCATCCACTCTCCTTCTGTCCTCCCTAGTCATTGTCCAACTCGCTGATGCATAACAAGTGATTGCAAAGACCATGGCCTGTATCAGGCGCACCTTAGTCTCCAGAGAGACACTGTTGCTCCTGAGTACTTTAGAGAGGTCCCTAACAGCAAACTTTCCCATCACGATACGCTTTTTGATTTCCTGACTGCTGGTGCCAAGAGTGTTGACTGTGGAGCCGAGCAAACTGAAGCTGTGAACAATCTCAATCTCTTCATCTTTGTTTAGCTTTTGTAATAGTGAACTCATACCATCCTCACCATCTCCGTGATAGTTGAGCCCACTGTGATGGTCACCATCTTGTGTCAGTCCATCTTGATCAGGTTCTTCTTTTAAACTGACTTTCCACTTCTCAAAGCATGATGTCCTTCATCAACAAAAGGCTCCTCCTAACAGTGTGGCCAAAGCATGTGAGGTGAAATGCCTTCAATGAGCACCTTTGTTTTACTTTCTCTAAGACCTATTTGTTCTCTTGGTAATCAGGATTTTCAGTACTCTTCTCTACTACCTCAATGCTCAAAGGCATCGGGTCTTCTCTCATCCATAGTCATTGTCTAACTTTCAGATGCATAGCATGTAACTGAGAAGACCATGGCTTGGATCAGTCATATCTTTTTCTTTAAACTGACAGCATTGCTCTTTTCTACTTTGGAGAGATCCTTGACAGCAGATTTCTCCAGTCTAGCTCATCTTTTGATTTCTTGACTGCTGTTACCATGGATATTGATTATGGATCCAAGTAAAATGATATGGTTGACAACTTCAGTCTTTTCTCCATCTATCATGATGTTGCCTATTAGTCCAGTGGTGAGAATTTCTATGTTTTTGATATTGAGATGTAATCCATATTGAAGTCTGTAGTCTTTGATCTTGCAGCAAGTGCTTCAAGCGAAAGTACTTTTTCATTTTCTGTAAGCAAGGTTGTGCCATCTGCTAAATGAGTGAGTGAATGAATATTAAGAAAGATTATTACTTGAGTTTGTGATTGTCATTTAAAGTGTATTAAATTTATTAATAAAGTTTACTAAATTTAGGGGTAATTAATAAAGTTTACTAAATTACTTCTCATCCTGGAATGTGCCACTGCACTACAACATTGCTTTTATAAGAAAATTATGTTTTTGAGAAAGTTATTTCACTATGTGTAGTAAACCCATATATATTTACCTGCTATGGTTATATTTTTTTCAAACTGATAAATGACTTTACAACCTATAAATTGAGGGTGCTCTCATGGCCTAGTGGCAAGAAGCTGTACCACAATCCTGAAGGCACGTGGTTCACTGGAGAAGGATGGGTAGTCTCCTCCTGTGCCAGTCAGATCTGACTTGACAGCACACAGCAAGAGTAAAAACCACCAAAACCCTACAATTACTGTTAAACTTAAATGTAATATACAATTATAATCTAAACCTATTAAATTTAAAAATATACTACTGTTTATATAGGGAGCTCTGGGGGCTTAGTGGTAAGAAATTGCACTGCCAATTCAGTGGTGTTTGGTTTAAATCCACTGACTGATTCGCAAGAGAAGGTTGGGCAGTCTCCTTCCCGGCACTTTACTCCCGCTGTAAACTCGCTGGAGGGTCAGCTATGAATTGGTCCTGACTCAACATTACACACCAACTTTTAATTATTTTCAAAGTTTGCCTGTCCTGAGATTTAACAAGGTTTTGGAAAAAAAAAAACCAAACTATCCTAAAATATTCACAGGGGACTAAAATAGAACTGCAAAGAAAATGGTAAGGTACTTTGGATAGGTTTCATGTTTTTAACTTATATCTTATTAGGTGCCCAAAGACAGTGGAAAACTTCTGTGTTCACAGCAGAAATGGTTATTATAACGGGCATACATTTCATCGTATCATTAAGGTAGGTTATGCACATTTCTTATTATTTAAGTCATTAATAATAATTTAGCACTCAATAAAAATTTAGCTCTCAAATAGTCCACTGAAGATGCTACAGGGCTATGCAACAATTCTTTCTCTTATATATAAGGTTGCCATAAGTCAGAAGTGACAACAGGCGCTAACACACATTGTATAAGAGGTTTAGCCTGTTCCATCACACTCACCAGTTTAGTAAAAAGGAATGGGGTGGGGGTGGGAGGAAAATGGATTATGAAAGCCAACAGAAGAATGAATAGTCATGAATATTAAACCAAGAAGAGCAGGAAGAATAGAATGATTTTTTTTTAATTGTGTACTGTTAAGGGAGAACTGACTCATAGCTGACCCTCTGGCAGGTTTTCAGCAGCAGTTCATCACACAGGAGGAGCAACTAACTCCAATTCCAACTTATATAGCAATCCCAATAAGCAGAGTAGGGTTTTGATCCTTCTAGGATTGCCAAGGCTGTTCATCTTCATGGAAGCAGACCTCCACTTCTTTCTCCCACAAAGGAGCTGATAAAACTGCCAACTTTTCAGTTAACAACTAAGTGCTTTAGCACAATACCAGCAGGGCTACTTTAGGCAGCTCCAGTCAATTCTGACTCATGGTAATCCTCCATTGGCTTTCTAATACTAAATCTTACCAGGAACACACTTGTTTCATCTTTTGCCCAAAAAGCAAACAGCTGTTAAGTTCAAATTGCCAACCTTTTATTTATTAGCTTACCTTAGTTATCTACTGTTGTTAAAACACAGGTATCACATTAAAGTGGATTGTCTTAATAAATTTATTCTTTCCATTTAGGAAGCTAGAAGTTCAGATTCAGTGTGTCAGCTGTAGGGGAAGGCCTACTCTGTGGAAGAAGATAGGTATTTTGGCACTAAATTAATTAGTGATGTGGTTCAGGAAATCCAAGGTATGCAGGAAATTGAGGGTCAGATAGGGGAAACACTAGGGCAAAAAGAGGTAATAACTGTGATAAAGAATTAAGGGTCTACATTTTAATGGGCAGAGAGCAAAACATTATTAGGGAGACATTCCACAAATGACTGGTGAAATGTTAATAAGAGAAATGGCCTTATCAGCAGGGTCAGGGCATCCCCTAGATTCCCTTAGAAGAATGGCTACTCCTGAAGCCCACTGAATGGGTTTGTTGTTTGTTTAGGTTTTTTTTTTATGCCCTGAGGAACTCAGTTGATAGGAAAGAAAGGGGTATGAATGTAAGAGTGCTTAAATGAAAGGCAGTAAAGGGCAAAGAAGTAATTGATTCTGAATTAAAAATAGACACATTTCTTTCTTTTCTTTTTTAATTTTTTTTATCTTATTATTTTTTGTGTGTGTGTACCGTCAATTCGGATCTGACTGGTACAGGAGGAGATTGTCCCTCCTTCTCCAGCAGAGCATCTGGTGGATTTGGACTGCGTACCTCCGGGATTGCAGTGCAGCCTTTTGCCATTAGGCCACCAGAGCTCCCTAAAAATAAACACATTTCTTGCACATTACATTAGACTTACTACACAGTATATAAGGGAGCTCTGGTGGCCTCGTGGTGAGAAACTGACTGCACTGCAATCCTGCAGGCATGTGCTTCATATCCACCAGTTCTTCCTCGGGAACTCCTCCTCGGGAGAAGGATGGACGATCTCCTCCTGTGTGATTAACTGCCTCTGAAAACCCTCTAGAGGGTCAGCTATGGGTGGGTTATGACTCAGTTATACACAACAACAACATACAGTATAAAAAGAATTACAGAAGTAACTGATTTTAGATATATCAAGAAAAAATTTATATGCGTGTATATGTGTGTACTCTATTGATACATACTTATACACGTATGTATATGTATAGCCATATATATGTATAAATAATCAATACATGGTACCTTTGTATACTTATATAACTGAAATTATGGTAGTTTTTAAGTGCATTCATCCAAATTAAACTAAGGGCTTACTCAAGTCACTTTATAGTGTTAAAGATTTCACAAAAAACAGAGCATTAAGGGGGAAAAAAATAAAGAAAACATCAAAAAATATGTAGAAAAGCACAGTTTAATATGCTTTTTTTATACTTTGCATTAAGGGCTTCATGATTCAGACTGGAGACCCAACAGGTACTGGTATGGGAGGAGAAAGCATATGGGGAGGAGAATTTGAAGATGAATTTCATTCAACATTATGGCATGACAGACCATATACACTCAGCATGGCCAATGCTGGATCAAACAGTAATGGATCTCAGTTTTTCGTAACAGTAGTACCAACGGTAAGTATAGAAGCACTTTAATGCAGAGAACTATACTCTGTGATCTGAGAAAGAATTAATTGAAGAGAGCTGCATTATTTTCTGTATATTTATTACTGTTATTGATTGCCATCGAGTCGAGCACGACTCATAGCAACCCTATCAACAAAAGGCCAAAAGCCTTTCTGTAACTATTGTCATTTATCAAAGTTCATCAAGTTTCAAGAGGAAGGTTGTTTAGGAAGTGGATGTCACTCCTGCTTCCAAACCTGACTTTAACTGGGAGTTCCACCAAACTCTGGTCCACCATGGGTAACCGTGATGGCATTTGCCACTCCAGTGGCACAAGGTTCAACATCACAGTAACCCCAGGTTACCTCAGTACAGCATATTAACAGAAGAGCGCTGTACCACTAAGAAGAATGTTTCTCCAAAATACAGTAACAACCAACTTTTAAATACAAAGGCCCTCCCCAAGGTCTTGTTGACTCTTGAACAAGAGGCTTAAATAAAAAACAACCAATATAGTATGTTTTCATTGTTATGTGTCATTGAGTTGCCTACAACATATGGAACCCTATTATGTACCCATCGCTGTCCTGAGCCAGTCTCACTAATTCTGACACACCAACCCCCATTGCCCCAGATACTGTATCAGTCCAGCTGATCCAGGGTCTTCCTCTCCTGCGCTGTCCCTCCACCCTTCAGAGCATGATGTCCTTTTCCAAGGACTGGTCTCTCCTGGCCATGTGCCCAAAGTATGTGATACGGAGCTTCAAAATCCTAGCATCCAAGGAGAGACTTGGCTTCACCCTCTCCAAGACAGACTTGTTTGTTTTCTTGGCAGTCCATGGTATGTTTAAGAATCTTCTCCAGCACAACTAAAAGCATAGCAACTAATTGAGAAGACCGTGGCCTGGAGTAGGCGCATCTTATTCCCTAGACTGACATTGTTGCTTCTCACTACTCTAGAAAGATCCCTGACAGCAGATTTACCTAATGCGATTCATCTTTTAATTTCCTGATTGCTGGTGCCAAGAGTGTTGATTTTGGAGCTGAGCAAGCTGTAATTGCTAAATCTCTTCTCCATCTATCATGGTGCTGCAATCATTTTATATATAACAATGTGAAAGTAGAGGGGAAAATGTAAAACTGTCAAATCATTTTTACTTGGCAAAGCAATGCTTGGAAAAAGTAATATAGCGGATTGTGATTCTTAATACCTTAACTTGGCTACTATTAATTGGGGTTTATATCTCTGTGCCTGCTGTTTCTCCTTTTCATAATTTAAGGATTAGATGATTACAGGATAGCTTTGTGCTAGTTAAAATGCATGATGCATTGTATGAAATACCTTTTGTGGTTTATATATTGTGCAAACAACTATTAAAGTTGCAAACTTCTACTTGTGCTTGCTACTGCAGCTGCAACTTTGTTGTTTTGGTTTTGATTGGTTTTATTAAGCTGCTGACAAAAAACCCAAAGGCTGAGGAAGGGGCTGTGGCTAGGAAAGCAGTAGTAGATGGAGGGAGCTGAGCTTACCTGGTCCACCTGAGTAGCAGCAGAATCCTGAAAAAGTCTGAATAAATGTACCTTGTCTGTCTTCTGCCTTACCAGCTTCATGGGCCTGTGCTACAAAAATTTGGACCTTTAAACTATTATAGGGACAAAATGAAAGAAGTCTGCACAACCAAAATCTTACTGAATCCATGTTACCTTTTAGTGGTTCAGGTAGGATCCCTGTAGAGCACATTTAATGCCTGAGCCATAGCCCTTTAAGCAATAAAAAGTATCTTAACAAGCATCTAATTCCCTTTGGTCTGAAGGTTAAGAAGTCAGAGATAATAAGATTGGCACAGGATAGAGCAGGGTTTAGGTTTGTTGCACAAAGGGTCACTATGAGTTGCAAGTGACTCGATAGCACATGACAATAACATACTTCAATGTTGTTGTGGTTGTCGTTAGGTAACGTCAAATCAAGTACAACTTATAATGACCCTCAGAACAAGAGATCAGAACCATATCTTGTCCTACACTATTCTCATCATCTCTGACATGTTTGAGCTATTTCTGCAGTCACTGTGTCAGTCCATCTTGCTTAGGGTTTTTCTCTCCACTTTTCCAAGCATGATGTCTCTTCCTAAAGAATAGCACCTCCTAACAACAGACCCAGCGTTTCATCATCCTTCCCTCTAAAGGAGCACTCTTACCTGAACTTTTTCTAAGACATATCTGTTCTTTTGACAGCCTATGGTATATCTGATACTTTTCTCCAATTTCACAACTCAAAGACATCAATTCCTCTGTCATTCGTATGCACTGCTGAGCTCTCAAATATACCGTGCTTTAAAAAGATCATGATGTGAATCAAGTGCATCTTAGTCTGTAACCTGGCATCATTGTTCCTCAGTATTTTTAAGAAGTCCTTCACAGCAGACTTTCCCAATGCAATACATCCTTTGGTTTCTTAACTGCTGGTGCTAAGCATGTTGATTATGGATCCAAGATGAAATCATTGACAGTTTCAGTCTTTTCTGCATCAATCATGATGTTATCCAGTGATAAGGATTTTGTTTTCTTGATGTTGAGATGTAATCCATACTGAAAACTGTAGCCTTTGATCTTCAGCAACAAGTGCCTCAAGTACTTCCTTTCAGCAAGTAAGGTCGCAAGAGCCTGCATAACACAGGTTGTTGATGAGTCTACCTCCTATCCTGATGCCAGAGTCTTCAGTCTAGATTCACAAATGATTTGTTCTGCATACAAATTCAAGATGTATGGAGAAAGGATACGTCTCTGACACACCTTTGTTGGTTTTAAGCCATACATTGTTCCTTTCTTCTGTTCAAACAAGTTTCTTGGTCTACTTTTGTATGAGCATAATTAAGTGTTCTTAGATTCCCATTCTTCTCAGTGTTAACCACAGTTTGTTATGATCAAGTGCATAATCAATAAAGCACAAGAGACCGTGTTCTGGAATTCTCTTTTAGCCAAGATTCATTGACATCAGCAATGATAACCCTGATGTCATGCCTCTTCTATATCCAGCTTGAACTTCTGGTGGGTTTCTGTCAATGTACTGATCTAGCTATTTTAGGCTGATCTTCAGCAAGAATTTGCTTGTGTGTGATATTAATGATATTATTAGATAATTTTCATATTCTGTTGGATCGTGTTTCTTGGATGGGAACAAATATGGATCTCCTCTAGTGAGTCAGCCACGTGGCTATCTTAAAAATTTCTTGTCACAAACTAGTGATCATGTCCAGAGATGCATCTGTTATTTCTTACTACTGGCTCTTGTTCTTACAATACTTCCTGAATTCTCTTTGGTACAATGGCTACTTTGGACTGTGTATTTTTTCAGTCTTTTTGATGATTCTTTGATCATTCAAGATTTTTCCCATAGTATCTCTCAGCACTGCAACTCATGACTTGATGATCTCTTTTACTTTGGCATTTCAGCCTTCTGCTTTTGCTTCTCAGTGTTCTACTGCAGTTTTCAAGGTCTGTTCTAACATATATTTACATAAAGGTCTCTACTGACAAAGTTGCTCTTGGACATCTTTTCATGTCTTACTTCTGCATCCCTTCCCTTTGTTTTGGCTTCTCAACACTACTACAATTTTCAGTCTCCTTTGACATTCATCTCTATAAAGATACCTTTAAGTAGTAATTCATCTCTATAAAGATACCTTTAAGTAGTAATTTTTAATTAAATGTTATTATACTGTCAGGAAATAAGGAAACACATTGCACTGGGAAAATCTGCAGCTAGGGACCTTTCCGTATTTTTGAGGAGTAGTGATGTCAGTTTGAGGACTGAGGTGCATCTGATTCAGGCCATAGTATTTCTGATTACTAGCTATGCATCTAAGCCCCAGACAGTGAATAAGGATGACAAAAAAAGAATAGAACCCTTTGAGCTGTGGTATTGGAGAAGAGCACTGAACATCTCATGGACAGCCAAGAGAACAGATATGTCTTAGAGATGCTGCAGCTGGAGTGCTCTTTGGAGGCAGGAATGATGAGGTTTCACCTCATATACTTTGACATGTTGCTAGAAGGTGCTGTTCCTTGGAGGACATGATGTTGGGTACTCTCAACCAGGTTGACTGACTGACACAGTAACTGCTGCAATAGGCTCTTGTGTGTCAGAAAGTGTGAGGATAGGGGGAGCTCTGGTGGTCTAGTGGCAAGAAACTGCACTGCAATCCCAGAGATGCATGGTTTGAATCCACCAGATGCTCTGCTGGGAAAGGAGGGACAATCTCCTCCTGTACCAGTCAGATCTGATCTGACGGTACACAGACACACACACAAAATAATGATTTAAAAAGAAAAAAAATTTATAAAAAAAAGAAAGTGTGAGGATGATGCAGATCTTTTGTTCATAGGGTCACTATATCAGTCATGTTTGACTCTACGGGACCTAACAACAACAATACTATACCTTTATGTGTATAATAACATTTAATTAAAAATTTTGATCCTTCAATCATAGAGGCAAAATGGTAAATGTTCACTTCACATACTCTGGGCACGTTATCAGGAGGGACAAATCTTTGGGAAAAGACATGCTGGGAAAGATAAAGGTGTCAGAAACAGAGGACAACATCCAAAGAGATGGACTGATAAGAGTGACTAGAACAAGGGAGCTCTGGTGGCCTAGTGGCAAGAAGTTACACAGCAGTCCCAGAAGTATGCAGTTTGAATCCACCAGATGCTCTGCTGGAGAAGGAGGGGCAATCTCCTCCTGTACCACTCAGAACCAATTTGACGCACACACACAAATATAATAATTTTTTTTTTTAAAAAAAAAAAAGGTAACTAGAACAGTGGGTTCAAATACGGCAGAGATCATGAGGATGTCACAGGATAGGACAAGGTTCAGATCTGTTCATTGGTTTGCTAAGAGTTGTAGTCAACTTGATAGCACCTAACAACAATATAACTATCTTACTGTTTACAGTTTTGTCATTTAAGCATGGAAATTGCATTTTAAAAAGCTAAGTGAAATTAAACTGAATACTAAAATGAAGCATATGTTCAACCACAAGATGTTATTTTAAGATGTTGTTTTAGAAATGTAAATTTACCAAGATTTTTCTCTTTATTTTCCAATACAGCCTTGGCTTGATAATAAGCACACAGTATTTGGACGAGTAACTAAAGGCATGGAAGTTGTACAGAGGATCTCCAATGTCAAAGTTAATCCCAAAACAGATAAACCTTATGAAGATGTCAGCATCATAAATATTACCATCAAATAAGACACTTCATTGAATTTGTAAAAAGATAAATTACATTAAGAAAGCTCTAAGGCTTGAAAAACAAATCATGTTTCAAGGAATTTTTATTTTTCATTATTAATTTACACTAAGAAACTAAAACTTGCTAAACATGAATCATGTTATAAGAGTGTTTTTATATTTTTCATTAAAAGCCATTTTTAAAAGACTCTGCCTTTGATTTTTCTTAACAGTGTTTCTCATCTTAAATGGACTAAATGCAGGTATAAAGTGTTCCTTAAAGACAATTTCTAATGAGACTCAAAATTATATCAGTTATAGTGGTTTACATCACTTTTGTAACTTTTTAAAAGCTTTCCACATACCTCATGGTGTATTTTCTTTAATCCATTATGCAAAATAGTAAGTTCTATGGCCATACATAATTTATTTTCTCTTATAACTTGTAAATCATGCAATTAGTTTTGTCTTTCTTTTCAGCATTAAGTAGTAAGCAGTGGTAAGTAAAGCTTTACTTAATAAACAAATTCTCTTTGGTCATAAATATGAAATTGTTCAATAATGAACAGTCTTTCAAATAAGAATCTGAATAAATAAATAAATACTTGTGTTATTGTTTTGTATGTAAGTTCATTTATTATCTCATTGTTTTCCACTATAATTTAACCCTTTTTTAGGTCTACAAAATACAGCATGTCTTTTTGTACTTTGTTTCATGGTATAATACATCTTCAGTATACTTCAGTTCTAAACCCAGCTCAAACTTAAGGCAATTCTCTCAAGGCACAGTGCTTACATGTGATATTAATGATATTGTTAGATAATTTCCACATTCAGTTGGATCGCCCTTCTTAGGAATGGGAACAAATGTGCACCTCTTCCACACAGTTTGTCAAGCAGCTGGGCTCCAAATTTCCTGGCATAGACTGGTGAGGAGGTCCAGGGCTGCATGTGTTAGTTGGAACATTATCAATTGATATTCCATCGATTCCTGGGGCATTATTTCTTTTGCCAGGGCCAGTGCTGCTTGTAATTCTTCCTTAATTAACATTGGCACTTGTTCATATGGTACTTACTGAAATTTTTTGGTGTAAACAAATTCGTTTTGTTAGTGATTCTGTGTATTCCTTTTTTGGGGGGGGTAAAAAAAGTATTAGAAACACTTAAAATATTAAATAGTAATAAAAATTAAAAATAATTTAATAGGAAGCTGTTTTGTGAAGGGTCTCTCTGCCCTCCTAGATCTGCAATAAAGTGCTTTGAATATTGGGGGGGGGGAACATTCTCTGGCAGCACCATAATTGAAATGCATTCATTCTTCTTTGATCTTCCTTATAGACTAGTGGCAAGGAGTTCTGTTGCCAATCCAAAGTTAGGCAATTAAGATTCACCACTAACTCCAGAGCAGACACAGATCATCTCTTCCATGAAAACTCACTAGAGGGTTACCTGTAAGCCAATTCCAATTCACTGACAACGGGAAAGAGCTTTTGTGTGAGATCTTTTCTTGTGGTATTTTGAGTTTGGGGGCTTCTCCCAAGTTCGTTTGCTTACAAAGTTCTATACATACTACTCTTCATTCACATTGTGTTTCATACAATCATTCTCATGCATTATGTTTTATAAAATGAATCATCATTGGACCTTGCCCATCATTATCTTATACTTTTGTCCAAATCCTTCCCATTTACTTGCCCCCCTCCCTCCATCCACCAAACTGTGCAGCCTGTAGTTTTGCCCCTACCTATCCTTAGTCTTCCCCTTGAGTTCTCATTCGTTCTACTAGTTATCCTTCTATTTTTACAATAAGGTCTTATGCAGTATTTGTCCTTATGAGACCGCATTAGTTCACGCAGCATAATGCTCTCCAGCCTCTCCCAAGTTACACAGTATTTTTCAAAATCATTGCTCCTGAGTGCTGCATAGTATTATGTGAATGTACCACAATTTCTCAATCCATTCAGTCTGAGTTTTTTCCTAGGTTTTTGTGATGGTGAATAACACTGCTATGAACACGGGTGTAAAAATCTCCATTTGTGGCTAGCGTTGGTGGCCTAGTGGCAAGAAGCTGCACTGCAATCCCAGAAGTGAGGAGTTCGAATCTACCAGATGCTCTGCTGGAAAAGGAGGGGTAATCTCCTCCTGTACCAGTCGGATCTGATTTGATGGTACACACATAATAATAATTTTTTCTTAAATCTCACTTGTTTCTCACTTCTAATTTCTTTGGGATATACTCCTAGTAATGGAACGTTGTTGTTGTTATGTGCCGTCGAGTCGCCTGCGACTCATAGCGACCCTATGTACAACAGCCCTAAACTCCGCTCTGTCCTGTGCCAATCGCACTGTCTC